TTCTGAGCAAAATAAATTAGAGAAAAACAAATACCATATGCTCTCACTCATATGTAGAATTTAAGAAACACATGAGCAGGGGCGCCTTGGTGGCTCAGTCAGTTAAGCAATAGACTTCGGCTCAGGTCATGATCTCATGGTTCGTGGTTTCAAGCCCCACATTGGTCTCTCTGCTGTCAATGCAGAGCCTGCTTCAGATCCCCTGTGTCCCTCTTTATGCCCCTCCTCTCCCCTGCTCACTGGCTCTCTCTTTTTATCTCGAAAGAAAGAAAGAAAGAAAGAAAGAAAGAAAGAAAGAAAGAAAGAAAGAAAGAGAAACAAATGAGCAAAGGGATAAAGAGAGAGAGCGAGAGAGAAACCAAGAAACAGACACTTAAACTCTTAACTATAGAGAACAAACTTATGGTTACCAGGGGGAAATGGGTTTGGGGGTGGGGAATAAAGAGTACACTTACCAGCAGGCCTGGATGGCTCCATTGGTTGGGTGTCCCACTCTTGATTCAGCTAAGGTCATGATCCCAGGGCCATGAGATCGAGTCCTGCATTGGGCTCCGCACTGAGCATGGAACATTTTTAAGATTCTCTATCTCCCTCTGCCCCTCTCCTCCGCTTGTATGCTCTCTCTTTCTAAAATAAAAAAACTTAAAAGAACATCTAAAAAAAGAGTACACTTATCATGATGAAAATAAAATATTTTTAAAAATAAAAAAATAAAAATAAGTCTCTATGCATTCAGAATCCACAGAGCTGCTATACAGTTTGTGGGATAATCAAAAATCTGAGCATCCTCTGAGAAAGAAGCTTGTTACAGTGGTCGGGAGAATTTTCAGACACCAGCAATGCACCCAGAACTGAGAGCAGAATGAATTAACTCTTCAGAAAGGAGAGGCCAGATCATGTGGTTTATCAAAACCTTCTTCACCAAGTTGTGTATTGTTCTACCTGCTCAGGTTTTCAAGCTGGAAGACGCTTAGAAACAGAGATTGGCCCTTTTCAGCAATTTCTCTCTAAGTCCCAGATCTATTCATTCTGGGTGGTGCACCAAAGAAAAAGGAAGGACTCAGGGGTAGGAGAGACTGAAGCTAGAATCCTGTCTCAGATACTCACACCATTCAACAAATAAATACTAAGTCCATAGATTGTACCAGCTGCTGCTGCTACTATGGTGAGTAAAAACAGACAAGCTCCTTGCCCCTATGGAGTGAATTCCTAGTAGGAGAATTTTTTTTAATTTAATTTTTTAATTTACATCCAAATTATTTAGTATATAGTGCAACAATGATTTCAGGAGTAGATGCCTTAGTGCCCCTTACCCATTTAGCCCATCCCCCCTCCCACAACCCCTCCAGCAACCCTCAGTTTGTTCTCCATATTTATGAGTCTCTTCTGTTTTGTCCCCCTCCCTGTTTTTATATTAATTTTGTTTCCCTTCCCTTATGTTCATCTGTTTTGTCTCTTAAAGTCCTCATAAAGTCATATGATTTTTG